TAATTTAGATGTGATGTTTGTTTCGAGCTCTCGCCTTGTGCACGGTTAAAGTCGCGGCGGCAGAATTATCGGAAGATTCCTGCAGGGGAGAGAAGAGAGACGAGTCAGCTTGGGCGCCGGCGGAGCCCGGACTCGCGGCACCTGGGGAAGGAAAACACGCCCCGACACACGCGCCTCTGCGGGCGCCAAAAATAACCCGCGCAGGCCGGGCGCCCACCCCGGGGCAACCCGCGCCCACCTCAGGAGCCCCAGGCACCCACCCCGAGGTAACGGGGCGCCCACGTCAGGGGCTCGGGGCGCGCTCCCCCGGGGCTCAGAGCAACCACCCCGGGGGTCTGAGCACCCGCCACGCAGGAAAGGGCGCCCACCTCCGGCGCAGGGCTGGGGGAAGTGGCGGCCGCCCCGACGCTCTCCGGACTCTCGGAGGCGTCTCCCGAGGGTCTCCCGGCCTCGGGCTGGGGGCGACGCGCGGGTCTCTCCGGACCCTAACTCCCCAGAGGCCGCCGCGTGCCGAGCCCTGTCACTTACCCTCAGGGCCCCGGCTGAGGCCCGCGGCGCCGAGAGGAAGCGCACGGCGGGCAGGGGCGGCCGGTTAGGACAGTCGCCGTGCCGCCCCGGGGCAGCTCCCGGAGGGGGCAGCCCAGACCCACCCCGCCCGCCGGCGGTTGTCTCCTCCCGAGCTCGGCGCTGCCCCCTACAGGCCGCATGGTCCCTCCTCGGTCGCCCCCTGACCCATCGCGAGCCGTCTGGCTCCAGCTCGAGGTTGCCGTTGTCGCGGCGCTTATCACCGAGGCCGGGTCATCGGGCCGCGGGGACCTCACAGCCCAGCAGACGGGAGCCCCAAGTCCTGCCTATCCCTCGCCTCCCCCGAGCTGCTGCAACTGTCAGTCATCCGCCTGGAACCCCGAGGGGCAACTACTGAGCAGGCCGCGGGACCCGGAACAAGGGTCCCGTGGCTCAGGATCTCGGCCGCTGCGCCTCACCCCTGCCCCCGCCCCGCGCGCCGAACTCGTTTCCCTCCCACCCAGCTCGGGAAAAGGCCAGGCGGACGCTCCTCTCGACTTCCCCAGTGGGTCAGACCCATTTCACACAGAGAACAATTCGTTCCCTTGGGCTCCTGATTGATTCAACTAGTTGCAAGGATGCTGAGGCAGGGGTGAGCGGTGGGGTGGCTGGCAGGCTGTGACAGGCAGAGGACATAAGCAGGACCTGTTTCGTGCCCTCTGAGTCTCCACACAGAGATTTATCACTGTGACCTTCCCGATTCCCCTGCCAGGGATGCCGGCTGACCCTGCCGCCTGCGGGGCCCAGCCTAAGTCAGGCTCAACTTTTGGGACAGGATCCCACTTGCAGCGCTACAGCCAGCTCCTTCTCTGGGCCTCCCGCACCCACTTAAGGCAGAGTGACTGACCTAAAAGTCCACGCTGGTCGTGTGGCTTCCGTTCGCAAATATCTCACCTGGACCTCCCTCCCTGGAGCCAGACAAGACCCAAACCTCCGAAGCGTGACACTCCAACCCTTCCACCACCACCCCCGCGCCAACCCACGCCCCACGCCTGGGCCAACCCACCTCTCCATCCCAGGCTCCGTGGGCTCCAGCCTCCTGCCCTCTCTAGCACCCCAGCCCTTCCCTAACTCTTGTGTTTTCTTTTCCAGGAATGCAGTCCCTGCAGGGCGAGAAGGAGAAACTGATAGTCCGCAGGGGGGTGAACTTAAGGCCCTTGCTTTCATTAGCACAGTGTTGTAACTGCCAAGGAGCCTCTGAGGAAATGGGCTTTACGTACATATACATACTCGCCCTTGCCCCTGAACCAACATCAAATACTTTCATGTTATTCTTGGGGGCGTTTTAATTCTTCAGATCTTCTGGATTCGTGTTTTTGTAACCCATCAGACAAGCTTTTGTACATCTCTTTCCAGCCTAGGCCTACACACTAACAGAAATAGTTTTACATCGAAGGACAGTGCTTTAGTATTGTATTCAGTCTCTTTTCTTTCTTTTTTCTAGTTGTGTTTCAAAATGTTTTTTCTATCTTGTGATAGTTTTGCAGAAAAAAATATTGAAATAATTCAAATCAGGTTCTTAATCTGCTTTATTAAATTAAAGTTCTCTAACTTTGATATTTTGAATAAACACGCAGAAGTGTCTCTGCCTTTTCTGTTAGTATCTAATCTTCCCTGCAATTACCAGTCACTAGTAAAATGCTATGACAGTCATAGATCCTGTGGCTCTCACTGTGAGTTTTCTGGGCTGAGTAGGGACTTTCTGAGGTTTAACCCCCAGGATACTTTTTATAGAAGCACCAGCTGATTCACCAATGCCCTTCAAAATGAGCACCTATCCATCACTCTCTAGACTCTCCCAACAGGTCAAACCAGGGAGCTTCGTTGAAATAGACTTGGCATTAAATTAAAATGTTTCCCAAAGCATCTTGGCAGACCTGTAACTAATGATGCCAGAGGCCCAAGGCCTGTGCCAGGTTCCTTTTTATCCCCATAAGTGCTTGTCTTCCACAAGCCGCTGGTCACACGCCCGCTGATGTTGTAGCAGCATTTCTTCATCCCACAAACAGCCCAACTGTAGGTACCATATCTCAGACATGGTGAAGGGAAGCAGCATGTTCGGCTGACATGTGCAATACTTGGCTCCCAACAGGCTTTTTAATAACCTAAACTCAGATTTTTTTTTTTTTTTCATCACAAATAGCGCAGTAAGTAATTGTTTTTCCTCATTCCTGCTTGTCTCTCTGCAGTTACTAAATGGTTGCTTTTCATTCCTCATATTCCATGAGCAATATTATTGAAGAAATTGTAAATATTTTCCCAAAATTCTTGCTGAAGTGTTTTCATGGCATTGTGAAATTCATAGAAGTTGGAGATATAAAAACAGCCAAAATACCATAGTCATTCCTTAGCAAATATTGTCTAATGGTTCCCTCAGACTACATTTCAGAGCAGGACAATAAGATAGGCAAGACATTAATAAAATGCCCATTCTAAGTAGGTCCATGATGCTTATGCCAATTTATTTTATCTACATGCTAATGAGTAATCTGTTCATAATGTCTAAAGTCAGTAGATACCTTTAAAATCTCATTCTATCATGCCAGCAACATATGGCTTCATCGCTTTTAAATTTTCTTCATATTTCAGTCCATCTCAGATTTTAATCATTTGTCACTCTTCACCAAACTGTCTTCTATTTGCATCATCAATTTAATCCCCAGAACTTGAACTATTCAGACTCCCTGTTCCTTAAGAATCTTCCTTTCGTCTCTCAAAATAACACTGTCTCAATTTACTGACTTCTTGCCATCATTTATGGCCTCATAGGTTATGAATTCATATCTAGTTTCCAGTTCACAGGCTCCAAATATTAGGACTCTCCAACTTTTTTTCTGAATCACTGAGTACCTGGCCTTTAGATTATTTTTTTTCCTTAATATATTATGACAATTTTCATTTCCCAAACCTCAATCTCATTTTATTTCCTCTGTTTCTCCAAAGATGCAGTTCAACCTCTGAGCCTTCATATTCAACTGCTGTTCATATGCTTAACATAAATGCTAACTAGAGCAGAAAGTAGATGACCAAAATGCTTTAAGGAAATTGCAGATTATATCAATGTACTGGTCCACACTGGCTACTCATTTGCTTCCTGGGTCAATCCAGGGGATTGATTTTAATCTATTATGCTCCTACAGCTTAGATTATATTTATTTTATCATGATCCTCAACAACAAGAAATATGTAGCGATTGATTGCCTTTTTTCCTGAGCACTAATGTGGCAAGTTAGACCTGCCAAAAGCTTTCATTTCCATATTTTTTTTCCTCTGACACTAAAGATCCTACACCCATTTTCCTTAGATCCAGCTTCCACAAGTGTATATGGCTGCCAAGAAGTTAGGCACTCAGGGAATTACATCTATGCTTTCCAGCCACTGAGGAACTACTCTTTGAGTTCATTAAGTTTTTTCAGGGGCTATTGGTAGCATTTTGAGGGAATCTACTAATTATTGGGAATTCGATAAGATTATTCAGTTAGCAAAAGGATACAATATGCTAGACTAATGTGAGTCCCTCAAAAATAACTTATTACACTGGTTTTATAAATTCTCTCTCATGTATTTGATTATACATCTACCATTATTTTATTACAGGAGTCATTGCAAACTCAAATGCGTATGGGGGCCAGGTAGGTAATGTAATGCATGAAGTTGGAGGATTTGCTTCATAATAGCATCACAGTGTATGATTTTCAACAATGACATCCTTTGCATATCAAATACAGAGTAATAGTCTTCCTAATTCATTTCTGGTTTTCTAATTTTGATAGGGTCTTGTCACAAGAAACATTTGACTTTCCTTTTAACTCTAAAAAAGATGTGTGAACATACTGATAAATAGCAACTGACACCTGGCCAGGTGTAATGGGGCAACACGGGGTGGTAGACTCAGGTGATCTGGTGATCTGGTGAGGAATCTTACTGCTACCATGAGGGAGTCTTGGCTCAGTGCTGCCAAGACCATCTTATTTTTCTAGAAAAGCCGGAAATATGGAACATAAAACTTGCTATTTTGTTAGTTCCCGCTCTTAAGGGAAAGACATCCACAAATTGAGGTCTTCACGTATTGTTCTTTATGAAGTCTACAGAGAGGTCTGTTTTTTCCTATCCCACCTCCAAATGGCGTGATAAGTAAACCTTAGCAAATGCCTTCCAAATTCTGCATTTCTTTGGGTCTTGTCAATATGTTGTTCATGGACAGATTTATTTTCATGAGTTTCAAGAAGTCAGATATCTGATGACCACATCATTTTACACATCCCAATATGTGATGTGTTGCTCCCAACCTATTTCTCTTCATCTACCCACTCCCACATCCCAACCCCAGGAATATTTCATCTCTGAAATCTGAAACTTGGAAACTCATTGTCTACCCAGAAATTCTGCCCTTTCACTGGTCCCATTATCTTACTTCCCCTAAACCCACCTGCCAGTCTTAGCAAGACCTGTACTTTCTCTAACCCTTCCCAATCCCTTAGTCTGTAAGTACCCCTTTTTAGACCTTTTTCCCCTACCTAGCCTTGGCCTCATGACCAAGACCTTCAATGCAACCACATTCTCACTAGCATCCTAGACCCCTCACATTCTTGTCCTTCTGCTGTGCCCACCTTGCCAATCTACAGCTTTGCATAAATGTAACCATGGCTTTCTCTGTGCATGCCCCCTGACTGCCAGTCTAATGTGGAAAAAAATCATATAGCCAGGCTGTATTGTAAGTATATGATTTCCATCTTCAGCAGAGCCTCTGGTATATTGGGCAATGTTTTACCCTTTGCTAATTGGCATAAATCTTTATTCTCCAAACTGTTACTATCCAAATCCCTACTAACCCACTGGCCCTCAATCTCAGCAGTTGTCCAAGGATTCTACTTCACAAAATGCACCAAGAAATAAACTGCTTTAACTTTTCTTCCACGTCACTTACCCTTACTTCATTCACCCACCACCCTTGCAGTCTAAGGCTAACCCTGAATCAGAAACCATCTATGTATGTTTTCTACGATTATTGGACTCTTCTGCTCCAATGTGATTTATCTTTTGGGTCCAAGGGGTTTTGTTACCCTCTGGATGGCAGAAGCTGGAATGGGGTCTTCCCTGAAGGAATGGCTAATCCCAACTTCAATCATCCAAGGACACAAAGGAGTCAGGGATTTGGAAGACAGCCTTAGACCACCTTCTCTCAGGAATGGTGTCTTGAGTCTTCATGGGTGCTCCAAGGCAGTGAGGAGGAAAAGAATAGGGCCCCCAGGAGCAAGGAGGAGAATAAATTGCTTTCAACAGAACCCCATAAGGCTCAGCCTGTGGGTTCAGAGGATAGGGACATTGGGTTTAAATGTGCTTTTTATGGTGTGTTTTCCCCAAGTTGTTAATAAAGAGGGGTTAGGTATTAATAGCTCCTCTCAGTTGTACCATTATGGATAAAGTGATGGTCTCTGAAAGAAGGAGGAAGGGGAAAGTAAGACCCTGAGTTAAAGAGGCAAGTGGTGAGGGGAGTAGACCAACCCCTCAGGGAGCTTCTCTTCGTAAACCTCTCAGCGCTGAGGCAGTTCTTCCACCTCTTCCGCCTTGCTTTGTCACATCTCTTGGTCCATTCTCTATCCATTCTTGCTTTCCTTCCACATAAAAATACATTCTAGACATCCCTTCCTAAAAATTTTTTCCTCGACTCTCTTTCCTTCTCAAGCTACACTTTCTCACTCTCCTTGCTCCTTACACTGAAATTTCGGTCAAAAAAGAAACTATTTTCTGTTTGATGTTCACCATTCTTTTTGTTGCCAGCCTATTGTAACTGGCTTCCATCCCCTTCTGCAGAAACTGTCCTCCCAAAGATCATGGTTGAAATCCTAATCAACAAACTCAATGGCTACTTTTAAAAAAAAAAATACTTTAAGTTCTGGGGTACATGTGCAGAAGCTGCACGTTTGTTACGTAGGAATACACATGTGATGGTGGTTGGCTGCATCTATCACCCCGCCATCGACATTAGGTATTTCTCCTAATGCTATTCTCCCCTAGACTCCCACCCCCCGATAGGCCTCAGTGTGTGATGTTCCCCTCCCTGTGTCGATGTGTTCTCATTGTTCAACTCCCACTTATGAGTGAGAACATGCAGTGTTTGGTTTTCTGTTCTTGTGTTAGTTTGCTGAGAATGATGGTTTCCAGCTTCTTCCATGTCCCTGCAAAGGACATGAACTCATCCTTTTTTATGGCTACATAGTATTCCATGGTGTATATGTGCCACATTTTCTTGATCCAGTCTGTCACTGATGGGATAAATCATCCTATTATGGCAACTTTTTAGTCTTTATCTTTCTTGGCATAGGTGGAACATTTAGTATGGCTAACTCTCCTTTTACTGTTGAAACTCTCTCTTTCCTTGCTGAGATTCTTATCCTGACTGTGCCCCAGGAATCTTAAACTCAACATACCTTTATTTTAATTCCTCGAATCTGTCCTTTATATGTCTGTTTTCCTGGTATTCTAGCCATGCTGTAGACTGACTGAATGAAGAACTCAGCATCAGCTTCCACTCCCAGGGCCTCCTGTTCCAGTTAACCGTCGAGGCATTGTAAATCAACTGAGAAGTATCTCTCAAACCCATTCCCACCAGAATGGCCTGTAATGTCTTCATTGCATTATGCTTGGACTTCTTCAAGAGCCTCCCAACCCTGCCTGCCTCTGCTGCCTCCCAGCTTCAATCTGTTTCTCACCATCAGAATTGTCTTGGGGGATCACTGCTCAAACCCAAAGTCTCCAACACTTCACTTTAAAACAAACCTCATTCCCTTCAGGAGACCACAAGTGCCGTCATAACCTGGCCCAATCTTTCTTTCTACCATGGTCTTCTATGTAGATAAGCTCTATACATGCTAGTCACGTAGATCTACTTCCCTGAAATGGCCATGTAGTCTCACCCTCAGTGTATTTGCTTATGGTGTTTGCTAGGTTTAGAATTCCTGTTTCTCCTCTCTCCATTGGAAGAACTAAAAGGCATCCTTCAAGAAAACACAAATGCTTCCTCCTTTGATAAGACGTTTCTGACTCCAGAAAATTAATTGCTTCTCTAGGCTCTTAAAGCACTTAGTACATACCTCAACAATGGCTCTCATTATAATATATTGCAATTATTTATTTATAAATCTTTTTCCCCACGTGAGCTTGAGATCAACACAGTATAACTTACAAATCTTTTCTCCATACACTACGTAGGATTCATCCTCAAACTCTCTGCTCCAGCCCTGAACCTGACATATAATATATCCTCCATACATTTGTTGATTTTAATTAATAAGCCTGTTTTAAAATCCATCTTTGCCCTTCATATATCCCTAGAAAATCCTTTATTATTTCATAAGGCCTCTTTCCTTGGTTAGACTGAATATGTTTTATACTGTGTCTTCTATCTTTTCTTCCTGTTTTTCCTTATTAACTAATACAAATAAGTTCATCATATTGCTAGCATATGAATTATATATGTATTGTGTGAAAAGGACTGTATTTGATGCTGTGGGGAGAAGGTGAGTGGGAGTTTGGGGTAGGAGAAGGGAGGCTTATTTTTGATTACACATGCATTACAGTTCCAATTTTTTAAGTAGTTAAAAAAAAAATAAAGGGAGCAGTCCCAGCCCTGCTATGAGTTAGCAAAAATTGTGACCTATCTCTGAGAAGTAAGATTAGCAAAGCCTTACTAGGCCAAAAACTTCACCCCTCCACCTTGGCACACTGCCCAACTCCTTTCTTAATTAGTTAGAGATTCTAACCATCAACAATACACAACACAAGAGAGGACACACTCTCCAGAAGGTTGCTGTTAAAATGTACAAATTACCTGGCAAAAGGAAGCTTCCCTAGACAGCTCCCACTTACGCTCATTAGCAAGAAATGAGCTAAATGTCACCCTTTCTTTTCAGTAGAAACATATGGAGCTCACATGAGAGAGAAAAGTCAGGTTAATCTTGTTACCCAGAAGGGGGCAGGACAAAGCTCAGGGGGGCTCACAACCCCCACGCCAAAAAACTTTAGGGGACTTGGGCAAGTGAGGAGACATTGCGAGCCACATTGTGATTTATAATCTGGCTCAATGTCTGCCCTGAGACAGAGAAACACCTAAGAGAAGGGTTAGGAGGGCAATGAGACTTGAGAGAACCGAAGCCTGGGAGGAAGTGATGGAGCTGGCTTGGTGGACAGGGGTCAGAAGGTTATTCCAGGGAAGCTGTGCAGCCCAAGCCAAGACACATCCAAGTTCCTCTCCTACTCACTAGTCCCTATGCAAATGTTTCTTGCACTGTTAAACCTTAGCTAAGACCCGATGTGAAAGAAGCCTTAAATGATTTTTTCTTTAATTATGTGACCATGTAAATAGAGGATCTTGAACTCAACTGGGACAAGCACAAGAACTAGAGGAAGTGGCTAAGCTATAGCCACAGGGATTTTGGGTGCCACAGAAGGGAAATTGTCCCTGCTCTGACATCAGGCACTGATATGCATTACCAAGAAGGCCTTGGAATTTCCTTTTAACAAGAACCTTAAGAAGGTAGACAATTATCTACAGGGATGGTATGAGCAGTTCCAGCCTGAAGGCAAAGGTCATAATAAATGACTCACTTTGACCTGCTGATTCCGGGTATTTAATCACAGATTTAAAAAAAAAATTTTTTTGAAGTCAAATTAGCTGTTAGAATTTTTTTTTCCAGTTTCCTTAGTCTTCACTTTCATGGAATTACTATTTGGTGTGATGTAATTAAATGTTTCAGCCCTCTTCCAAACATGTATTTCTCACGGGAGTGTTCAATTGCCTATTGACTGTTTTGAAATAAAATACCTTTGTAATCATATATTCCTGTAGTTTTAGTTCACATGTTTCATCTAACTGGTTCATTTTTTTCTACCTTTTAAATTAGGCTCCCTAGTTTATTTTTATCATTGAGCCAAAGATTTCAGGACATTCTCTACTTGGGGTAGATTTTCCACTTGTCGAATTATAAAATGGCCCTCTTCCTAACATGGTAACTTTTTTGATGCTGTACGCTTGCTGTGTTTGTAAGTTAGGGGCAATTAAAGTGTCTGGTAGAGTACAACATTAATGCGATTAGAGTACATGGAGAAATTTTAAATCACCATCAATCTCCAATTCTGAAAATAGGTCTTTGGGTTTTAACTCTTATGTTGTATCCAAAATGATGTTTGTTTGTTTTTGTTTTTTAAATCATCATATTCTCCAGTGTCAAACTCAGCCTTATTACTTCTACAAACACTTTGTACACTGAATCATCTCTGTTATTTTATTCATCTGTTCCTCTAAGAAGATCTTGTTAGTCTACAGTGACATTTTAACCATAAAAATGATCTCAACCATCTCTGCTGTCTCTCTCTTTTCCTTTTAAACATTCAACTTAAATCTTAAGTCTTTCATAAGCTCTCTTCTCTGCAGTGGCGAGTAAACATTTCATTCCAACAGTCTACTGTTCTCACTCCTACTTGTAGGGAAATTCAAACCTTCTGTCCAATTTTGGGTATTAGGAAGCAGCCCGGATGTGTGACTTAGCTCCCAGACCTGAGATGCTCTAGCTGGGAGTTTGGATCAGAACCCTTGCCAGTTGGTCATTGCTTGGCATTAGACAAATCCTTTAAACCTTAGTGATTTCATTTTCCTCCTTGGTCACACAGGGATAAAAATGGTGAACTGTCTCCTGACCTGCCTCCTGATCTGCCTGCCAGGGTGGATACAGACCAACATTTGCAAACCTTAACAGACAGCATGAATGCTGAATGGAAAGAGAGCAACTGGAGCTCACAAATAATTTCCCCAAAGGTCAATTAGAACCACAAGATATCTCTGGCATACACAAGAAGTATTGGCCTCATCTATATTTAATGTAATTCCCTTCTCCCTGGTCCCAATAAAGGAGAATTTTTGGGTGCAATAAATATTTTATGATAAAAATGTCCATGTACCCACTTTCCAGAGCCCCAGCCAGTGGCCCCCTCATTTCCATTTTGAATATAATAATATGTCTGTTCAATCGCAGAATATGTATATTTGCTGGTACACACAAAGTACATTCCCTTTGCAGCGCTGTTGGCAGCTGATTGCTATGTATTATGTTGGCTTGGGGATTGTTTGTACACCCACTCACCCCTCAGCACGCAGCATATTATAACAACGTCTTAGTTTTAAATACAAGCTGATAATTCTGAAGAGAACGAAACATGAAACATCCAGAATACAAAACCTAAGTCATAGTCTCATCAACAAAGACTGGGGGTAGCTCAGCAACCAGAGACTGTAATGGGGAAAACCATTTCTGAAGCCAGAAAGGTGGGAAATAAATGGGCTCATGGGTTGGGAGTGAGATTATTCATAAGTATCAAAATGAAAGAAAGTGTCGGGAGAATTAGGGCTTGCTTTGTGTGGCTGGTTTGGGAGCCCTACTTATTTCTGGCATGTGTGGAATAGGGGCAGAGACCAAATAACAAAAACTTGTTTACCTGCGTGAGTCATTTACAGTCATCCCAGCCCTCAGGACGGGAAATGTGGGCACCATGGGCTAAGCAGGGTATGAGAGGGGTAGCCTTGCATCCCCGAACACAGAGGGGAGTACATAGGAACGCTGGGGTGGGCCTGCTTTGAGACTTAGGTTTCCCAGACTCATTTCATCAAAATTCTGTTTCCAGGATTTGGAGGTGGGATTCCCGTGACTGTAATTTAAGCCTTCAGCAGTAGCTACTAAAAAAGAGAAGGTTGGTTTGAGGTTGGGAAAGTGAAGCAAAGGGTATCAGGTCTATCAGTGATAACAACGCACGCTCCTCTTCTTCTGAGCCAGATGTCTCCCTCAGTGGGTGAGAGGGAAGGAGGAATACTGTGGTGAGATGAAAAAGAGGAGCAGGTTGAACATATTTATTCCCGTTGTACAGATGAGGCACTGAGGCAGAATCAAAGTCATTTCACTTGCCCAGGGCCAAATATGGCTCCAAAGCCCATTAACTTTACCACTGTGCAATATGTGAGGTGAAAAAAAATGCCAGCACACCCTCCTGGAAAGACCGGCCCAAAAGGAATCGTAGCCAGGGGGACACGTCTACATCACTACTCTCCTCAGCAGATTGGGACCCAGTTCTGTCATCCTGGTTAGATATTC